TTCTCTATAAAGGCTACTCTGATGGCACCTCTTAAACCTGATATCCCTCCCCTGTGATCCTCCAACTTCCCAGTTAATAGCATGCTCACACATATGGATTTTATATCTCGAGTATGTATGTGTACATGCGCACTCAAAACACATAACACCTATGACTTCCTTAACTCACTATTCCTAAGTTCCAACAAGGCATAGTAGGCTTTATGTACCACTTCATAAATATTCAAGGAAGGAACAAAAGACTTCAGCTATCATCTCTAGTGCAAAAGCCATTATGGGGGGGATGGCTCTTCAACCTCCTAAGCAATCACTGTTTGTCTTTGAATTTCAGGATTTGGGCCATTCTTATGAGATCAGTGCCTTACCCCAGAAATTCTTCTTGATAATTTGAGCTGACCATAACAACATGCACTCCTCCTCCTCCTGCTGCCCGTTACTTACAGTATTTGGTCTCTTTATGTGCTGATACCTTACCTGTCTGCTACCTTTCTTAAGCTCATGGTCCAAGTCTCTCAAGCTTCCAGTTTCCTCAAACGTCCTTCTTTTCAGAAGACACTCAATTTCTACTCCCAGCCAAATGAACTTAAAGAGACTCAGAGGGCACTTAGCCCAGAAGAGAATGTTCACTGACCTCAAAGTGGTTGGTTTTCTTTACACCATTCAAATGTGAATGGCTTAGGGAAGGCCCTACTGCTCCAGTTCCCTCCACACAGCTCTCATCCCCAGTATGACCCATGTCTGAAACCTGCTCCATGACTATGTGTTCCATGAGCTTGGTGCCACAGAACACTGCCAGCTGGGCACCTTCCTAGACCTGGAGTTGATGACACCTCTTGACAGGCACGGACACTTCCATAGCTACCCTCCTCCTTCACACTCTATACTACTCAAGAACTTGGATAATGAATAATGGCTCCTGAACACTCATAATAGCTGAACTCAGTATGCCTATGGAAGATTCAAGCCTTTTACACACACACACACACACACACACACACACACACACACATATTGTCCTCCAGTACTCAGGATTAAACACAGGCTCTCTGCACTGGGCTGAATTCCACACCTTTTCAGATGGGGTCTCACTAAAATGCCCAGGCTAGGACTCCAATTTGCAATTCTCCCATCGCAGCTTCAGGGCTGGGATTACAGACTTGAGACCATGGCTCTAGTTTATATCCTCATTCTTAATTTCTAAATACTTAAGCTGAGCACAAATGCACTTTAAAATGAAGCAGGAGTGTGAGGTGGGCACAGGGCCATCAAGTGGTAAGCTAGGAGGCTACATACCCGCTAGCCTGTTCTTTCCAAAATAACCGCCTGACAGAGTCACAAGAGAAGGATCGACAGAAGCCTGCATAGCCCAGGGCTAAATAAAATGAGACAGCAAGAGCTAGATATTGTGTAAGATACAGTGCTAGATAAATACAGAGAGCTACACAAAACTGAGTTCGAAAGAGGGCTGTCATTCATAGCCTGTGTGATGGGAGGGTCACACTACACCTGTCCAAGCCTCAATAGCATCAGCAACAAGGGCTAAGAGAGGAACTGCCTAGGTTTTCACACAGCGCCATTGCTGAATTCCTGTACAGAACATTCAAAGCAATTAGTACTTTCTTGCTCATGATTTCACCTAATTTTTGGTGACTAAATTTGGAAATCTATAAAAATGCTTTAGTATAGTGAGTGACCCAATGTATGTTCATAAAGCCAAGAGCAGCTTATAAATATTAAACACTTCATAGGCAGTTGTTGCACTAGCTTGTGTACATACTTACGAAACACTAATTATGGGCCTTACAGCTCCCCAGGAACATACTGTGTTTCCCTCATTTCCTCCTCACAACAGTGCATGGAAATCCTCATGGTAAAACAGTCCTGGCTTTCTTGGCAATGAAGGACAGCTTGCTATTGCCAAAGAGCAGGTCATGTCTTAATTGTGCATAAAAGGAATGGGGACATTTTGATCCTTTGGTTGATGAGTCTTCAAGACTACCTCCAGCAATGCAACGTGCTGCACCCTTCTAACCACTCGAGGACCTGGCCTGGTCTATGTGACTAAGACAGCATAACAGAGTGTGGCATGTGGCCTCCAAGTTCAGGTGATATGAGATGTCGTGGCTTTCCTTCGGGGTTTTTACACTTCTGACTCACTTATTCAGAAACCCCATGATAATGTGCACCTTTGGTTCTCAGTCACTAAGCACTGTAGTAACTCTTAAAGAGCAGTAAAGCTACTCATGTTTACTGGGCAGGACTAGGGACTGTCTTGTACAAAGAGTTTTTCTGCCATAACTGAAGCCAATACTAAATGGTATAAGAAAAGGAAGGCAGACCATCAACGAACTCAAGTGGAAAAACCTTGTACCTTGGGAACTTGGTATTTTCCCATCGTTATTTGTGGCATTTACTCAGAAACTATCTCATAAAATATTTTGCATGTGCTGGTTAGACTTGAAAACTTAAAAAAAGAAGAAAAAAAAAAAAAACATGGCCAGCTATGTGAGTGCTTAACTACAGTCCCAGTTACTCAGAAGGCTAAAGGTGAGGTCACATGAGCCCAGGTGTATTTTACTTTGGAGATGGTTTACCATGAAGTCTAGGCTGGTCTCAAATTTATGACATAACTCATGCTAGCCTCAAACTCATGATCCTTTCTTCTGAGCCTCCCAACTAGTGGGATTAAAGGCTAGGAGTTTGAGGTCATAATGCCCAATGCATATCCAGCTGGCCTCGAGACTGAATAAAAAATAGATTACGGTGAGTTACTGGAGGTTTCAGGAAGAATAAGCCAGAGGACTTTGGTTGGACTGGCCACTAAGAAACAAATGAGCAATGCAAACACACCACTGTTAAGGATTAATTTATTCTTAGAGTTCTTACTAGAAGACCTTTATTGACAAGTTTTTTATTGTTCTAACTTACGGCTCACCCTACCCCTAGAGAAGTTGCATGAATACAGAAGACTACCTGAGTTCAGGTTCTGTTTTCAGTGTCAGATGCTCAACAATGAAAAGAATGGTTAGGCTGATTTTCAGAAGACCCTGGTAGGTGTGCAGATTGGTTTCAAACTTTTTTTCTTTTTCTTTCTTTCCTTTTTTTTTTGTCTTTTTAAGACAAGTTCTTACTGTTCAGTTCAGGATGGCCTTGAGCTTACTTTGTAGCCCAGGCTGGTCTTGAACTCACAACGATCCTCCTGCCTTGGCCTCCCAAATGTTGGGATTAGAGACATGTGGCACTACATCTGGCTGTTTTCAAACTTTGACTCTTGCTTTTGACCTACTGTGGTGAGATGTCTAATTTTGCCTGGTCACTTGCTGAACCCCAAAGCACTATGATACAACTGCTGGACAGCCTTCTCTGTGTTCAACTAGGATCTAGATGAGGATGAAAAGGGATTGACTTTTAAAAAGGGCCAAAACTAGGGCTGGTGCAACTGGCAATGCTTTAAGCACACCCAAGTAATCCAAAGGAAAACCCAAGGCTAATTAAGCAAAGAGTTTTTGCCTTGAATAAAAGGAAACTAGACAGTGGGAATGCAAGTACACCAAGCCACTGCCTTGACCCTGATATGTGTCAGGCAGCCAATGCGCATGACTTGTGACAATGGAAGACTAACTGTCCCGACCAGGGAGTCGGCTCAGTAGAATAAGCGCTTGCCTGGCAAACGCAAGGGGCTAAGTTCAATCCCCCATTTGGGGAAAGGGGGGGCTGACTGTCCCTGCTCTCAGAGAGGGGCTAGGACAGCCAAAACCCTTACCACCTGCTCAGATAAAGAGGACAGAGGCTCAAAGCATTTGGAAATGCTCCTGTCCAGAGACATCTCCATCTCCTGTAAAGAACACCAGGATGACCTGGGATGTCATGGGGATAAAGCCAGCCCCATCTCAACTGTGTAAGGAAAAAGACCACCCAAAAGAAGAAAGCTACTCCTGTGAACCTCTGGAAACCTGAGGTTCCTCTTCAGAAAACAAGACTCCGGTACTGCTCCAGATTATTTTTTAAACTTTTTCCAACCTAGTCAGTGAGCCATAATATCCCAAGGTGGTTAGAGAACATTAATACCTAGTAAGTAGGGCCTGTGGCTCCTGTGAGCGAAAAGTAGGTATGTGGAGTAGGCCCCCACATCCTCAGCTACCCAGAAAGAATTACGGGGATTTATATTTCTCAGACAGAAAACAAGGCAGGAGATTAGGGCATGGTCAGCAGGCTGTGCAAGTGGGTATGACCTGCCAGAGACCCAGCATACATGACCAGAAAAAGAATTTGTAAACCCAGTACTTGGTAACAAATCAGAAAGTGCTACCTTCAGTTCCTTGATCTATCCCAAAATCAAGCGATAGGATAACCTACACCTGACATCACAAGGGGGTATTAAAAAGATAGTAGGAGCCGGGGAGATAGCTCAGTAGAATAAGCTCAAGGGTCTGAATTCAACCCCTGTTGGGGGGAGGGGGAGAATAGTAGTCACTGGGGCCTCTCTTAAGCTCTTTCAGGAGCCTGCTCTCTCCCTGCAGTGTATTTCTTTTCCTACTTTAATTGGCCTGTACTCGCTTTGCAGAACCTATTTCTTTTCCCACCTTGAATAAACATAAAGTCCTTGCTACCTTAAAACAAACACAGGCCGGTGAGGTAGCTCAGTGAACTGAGTGCCTACTTAGGCAAGTGCAGGGACTGGGTTCCATGTTGTGTTGGCCCCTTCCCTAGGCGGGCTGAGCTAGCCACAGAGGCCAGGCATGGTGGCACATGCCTGTAATCCCAATGCTGGGGAGGCTGAAAACAGGATCACTACAAGTCTGAGCTGAGTAGTAAGACCCTGCACCAAATACATAAAAACAAATAAATAAATGAAAACAAAAGTTTCTTTTGTTCATAATCACTGAGTGATAATCCTTTGGAAAAGACATATCATGTGGGTGCTGTGCCGCTAGGCTGTACCTCCAGCCAGGGGATAGTTTTAATTGTTAAAGTACCACGATGCAATCCCCCTTACTTACAGCTTCTTTTTCTCTGTCCATGATAGTTTCAAGCTCCTCAAAATGTCGAAGTTTAATCTCTAGTTTCTTCATTTGTGTCTCAACCAGCAGGGCTACCAGAGACTTTATCTTTCTCTCTTCCACAGCAGCCAGGTGCTAATGCAAAAGAATATTTAAAATTAAAAAAAAAAAAAAGAGTACTCAAATTATTTAGGTAAGTAATTGCTTTAAAAACATAAAATGCTGAAGTTGCTATTCAAAGTGGAACTTATGCAAAAACGAATGTACCTTTAGACGCCCACTTTGTATGTTTCTTTTAAACATTTCAATTTAAAAATACCACTGCCACTGAATTTCTGGGGATAATGTGACCTTTCCAGAGGACTAAAGGAAATTGCCCTCCTCTCATAAACTGCCCTCCAGAAGCCTGTTAGGGAAGGGACGGTGAGCTAGCACTCTGCCTGGCCAAGGAGGACAAACAGGAAATCAGACCTCAGCTATCACCCCTTTATCATCTTTTCCTCCCTCTACTCCCTAGACACCCAGATGTGAGGCCTCTCACTGCTCTGTGGTAAGCAGACTATATGATGAAAGGCCAAAACAGAACTTCACCCAGAAGCAGAAGAGTCCAAACCCACAAAAGCGAACACAGGAACAATGCCTAACAGTAAGTCCTACTCATGCCGTGTGTTAGTCAAGCAGGACAAAGAAGGTGGTGCCACACTATCTGTATCAGGCCAACCCTGATTACTTACAAAGGTCAGTTCTATCTTCTACAGAGCTCATCTGGCCCTTCCTGACCACTCCCACCATCACTCTGTGCTCCCTTCCACTGGAGCTTCAGACCCTCCATGCCCCTCTTGCTTATACATGCTATCTATATAACAAATGAGAGGCAGGGAGATGGCTCAGTAGAATAGGTGCTTGCCTGGCAAATGCAAGGGCCTGAGTTCAATCCCTGGTTCCACAAAAACTAAAATAAAATAAATTTTGTAACAAATGACATGGAGTGGCTGTGTCACTTACTCATCTATCGCACAGAAGGAGTTTAATATGAGCTTTTAGAAGCTGAACTCAGATGTAACAGTTAAATGAGAACCTTACTTTTTTTTACAATTGAAAAGGGGAAATGCAGTTTTATATATTTAAGCTTTGGTGACCCATCTGTAGGAAGACTCAGAAATATAAACAATACAAACATACTGATGAGGTTTTACAGTATTTATGATAGTGTTTGCCTCTTTAACCCTTCACT